TTCGGATAAACTCAATCGTGACATGTGCCAGAGCTCACGACGTTCCGACCTTCAGAATCGCACCGTGTACGCACGCCTTAATGGTGTAATGAAAAAATATTTAGTAGTGCGTAAATTGTAACTTACTCCGAGTTCACACTGCACGATTTTAGCCCAATTTTTCAGCGATTCACAATCACGCTGTGTGCAATGATTTCTGACTGAAAACTACATTGGCGATGACCTACAGCCAATGAGAGACCAAGATACAGGGCCGAGGGAAGTTCAGGGAGGAGTTATATAACTCTATATATATAATAATTCCAGTCTTGCTCGAGAATGATATTTGTCTGACGCACGCGGGTTCTCGCGTTATTTCCTTATCATTTCTGGCGTGTGTTTTGTTGTGAAACGTAGTTTGCGACCAGACAGAGTAAGGTATTGTAATAATGTAAATTATGTAAAAAATAATGCGTTTTTGAACCACCAAGCATGAGAGCATGTTCTAGTGCACCCCAAAAACAAATTCAAGACATTGTAAAAGAGCATAATAGGACCCCTTTAAGGATCGATCCGCCCATCCCAACCTACAGTGATTGTCGGCGTGGAAATGTCGCCACAATAACAGACCAGTGTGTAAAACTCTCGGATGTATTTTAAAGATTCTGTGCCGCAAACTTTAAATTTTTCACATACTTTTGAAAATCCAGCATTTAGTTGATCCTGATAAGCGCTCGTCGTCACAGTTGTAAACAAGACGGCTTTCTTCTTTCGTGAGAGGGTTTGGCGTCACGGCATCTTTGTTTCCAGGCGGAACGTTAAAGAACGCGACACACGTCTCCCGGAAATCCTGTATAAGTCAACCAATCCGATGCCGACTTCGAAAGACTTCGAAACTCCTGAAGTGTTTCCACTTTTGTGTGCCATATGCATCAGATGTTTAGCCAACGTTCCGTGGGCGTGAAGTCTGAGGCTGAGACTAATCCCAACCCATAAGAGCGTACGAGGCGGCCATTTGTAAATTTTATGTGTCTGGCTTCCGGTGTCATTGCTTCCAGCTATTTTTCGATGTAAAAACAGCTCGTTTTGCTGCTTGATATTGCAAATTGGTGTGTCTTACCAAATTATTTTAATGTATCGTCTTAACGATGAACACACACTGGTTTGTATTGCAAACCATTTTTACCATGCTTTGTTATTCTTCTAGTTATTTCACTGCGGCTAATGAAACAGAAGTCTCACACATTCACAGAAAACGACTTCCGCGTTGAAAAATAAGGTGAGATTTTTTTCCCTTGGCCTTTTCTAAGTGCTTCTAAAACTAGGGTTCTGGGATGTGGTATGTAGTATGTAATTAAAAAATACATTCATTGAGGTATTATGATTCAGACAATCGAGTTCAGTGGTAATAGAGGTTAGCTACAAAATTAAGACAAAGCAAGTAAAAACTTCCTGGTGTTTGTGACCTGTTAAGCTACAAGCCACTACAAATAACTTAACCCCAATTGTATTATTATCATCATCATACATACATACATCATCATTTTTTCCCTGTAATACTCTAGAGAATGCACTGGTAAAATATAGAAATGTTTATAGATAAGTTTAAGAAAGTCAACAGCACGAAAGTAAGTAGGTAAATGAACAGAGAATGTAAGTCATGTACAAAACTTTCCTTTCTAGATTGCAGAACCAATAGACGGCAGTGTTGACCTTGAAGAGGGACATCTTGTCAGTACAGTATTGACTGTTCACTAAAATAGAGACAATAGAACACTCCTCAAGAAAATTAGTTTTCGAATTTTATTGAAAGATATTGCTTAACAAGGGAAAATTGCAGCACTTTATTCGGATACTTCAGTAAAAGACAAGAATTGTGACATACCTTCTGATTACAACAGAAGCAAACAACTAAAACTATCAAAACCGTTTTCATTTATTTGTAAATGTTTCCCTACTTTGTAAAACGTCTGTATTCTTGAATTCAGTGTATTTGTTATATATGCTGAAGTTACTTTCCGTCCCAAACCCTCTTTTGATCATCTTTGGCCCTGCAAATTTTTATTTCGCCTTAACCTCACTTTAATCTGCATCCCACAAAACAAGAATTAAAAAAACAACACAAAGGATATCTATACAAGGATATACAGTAGTACACAAATTTCAAAATTAAATACCAAATTACTGTGCAAGAAATTTAAGCAGTAACAACATGGGTGAATTACATGTCTGGGTGTCTGGCCTGGTGTTGTTCATTTTTTGTGTAGCCTATAAAGCACAATGTGCTTGATCATAAATTTAGAAAAACTTAAAAATTATTATGCAATGAATGGTAAACCATGAAGAGCAGGATATGATATGTAAAACAGCATAATAAATTTGCATTTCAAATAAATGAAAGATAGACCTATCTCTTTCAGACACATTAAAACAGTTAATAGTTTCATAATTTAATTTGGTATTTTTGTATTTAAATAGTGGCGTAGTTGAGCATTATGCACTGTAAGTGCTTATGTGTTGTTTCTCAGTGGTTACCTGCCAAAAAGAAAAATAGAAAGATTAATAAGTCAGCAGTCACTTGATAAACCCTTACCCTCAGCTGGATACCAATGTAAATCACATGGCCCCAATCTATTAGTGTGTATCAAGTTCTTATTAAAACAAGTCCAGACTCCATATCTAAGAATAGGCATCAAAAACATCTCCTATTCGGAGTAAAGGTAATTATACAGTATATATGTACAGTATATAAGCACATATTGTAAACTTTTACTTGGCAATATATAAACATGCATTATATCTTCTATAACAAAATATACAACTTACTTATGACTTGCAGATGTGCAGTGCTTTTGACTCTCCCTGTGATAAAGCACACTGTGCCACTCATGTCTTCGGATGTTTGTTTGAGAATGAGCCTATGAATGGTTCCCATTTTCTCCACCACAACTTTAGGACCAGGATGCAGTGTCTCCCCATTCAGGGTCCAGGTAGGTGCCTTGGCCACAGGCAAAGAGACTTCACATTCAAAGCATGCATCTGCAGGAGCTGTCACATCCACGTCCTGCAGCTCTCTCACCATTAGGACTGACAGAGCTGTTTCAACAGAGGAAGTGCCAATCCATAGGCATGTTAAATTGTCTCAGCTATACTGTCAATGCAATGTTTTATTATTATTATTATTATTATTATGTATTAAAAGAAAAAGAAGCAGTTCCTATATAATACTATTAATATTTCAAAATCAGTATTTCACAGTCAAATTGAGCAAAATCACTAACGTGCAGATAGCCTTTTTTTTGTCGTGACATATATGTGCATTATTTTACATTTTTAGCAAATCATTTTGAAAATTGTAGATGATTTTTTTAAATGTATGAAACCAACATAAATATGAATATGACATTTTTAGAGCTTGGCAGATATGTTTTGAATTAGATTTTAGGCTAATTAATAATGAAATGCCCTCACTTTTTTGTGGTACTCTCAGCAAGCGTATAGGTACTGTAGATGTAAAAGGGAGACATCGCCATCCGCCGATTAATTGTAGTAGTAACTTTATTTATCTTTATTTAGGGAAATTTTGTTTCAGTGTCTTGTTTCAATATGCGGTTCTCATCGCTGGGCAAGTACTCCTACAATGATTTGTGTACATAATAAACAGTAAGGGTGAGAGGACACAACCTTGTGGGAAACCAATATTCGTGATTTGTTTGTCAGACAATGAGGTACCCACACACACTCGTTGAACTCGGTTACTTAAAAAATCCTGCAACCACAAAATCACTCCTCCATCTAGAGAGAAATCTACAGATTTCTAATTGTAGTAACTGCAGAGAACTTTTGGCGCCTATAGTTGAGTGACTGGTGGCTGAGGGTAAATTGCACGCCCAAAGCAGGCCAGAGATTTATTCGTAAAGCAGTATTTCCCATCCTTTTTTTAGTCGCGGCACCCTTTGGAAATTTTAACAAATTTGTGGCACCCTACAAAATTTGTTTTGTCACAATACTGGAATTTCTAACTTCGATATGATACTTTGAAAAGTATAGATATTCGGTACAGCAGGGAAGAGCTGCAGAATATACTGTCATACAGATATTTTTATATTATTAAATTTTTTTGTCCATCAATGGTGAATGAAGAGACCAATTTATATGACATTTTAATGTAAGCTTTTATACATATGTAAACATTATTTAATTACCATTATAACTAGCTATCTCACAGATTTTTGCTCACTCAGTGTTTTTTTATTTTACAGTGGGCTAATTTTGGTGCAGTAGCACGAGATAGCTTGATTTTAAACTTTTAATTGAATAAAAAATGACAAGTAAGCAGTCAGTAATAAAATAAGAACAAATAAAGAAATTAATAATGATAGCACAAATGATAAAAAATAAAAGGCCTTCGAATTAAATAAAAACTTGAATTGAATAAAAAAATGACAAGTAAGCAGTCAGTAATAAAATAAGAACAAATAAAGAAATTACTAATGATAGCACTAATGATAAAAAATAAAGATAGGCCTACAAATGAAATAAATAGTTTTTTAGTTTTTCAGGTAGGTCTAACAGTAGGGCAATTAAGAGATTTCGTTTTTATTTATTTAAATTTTTTTTTACCAATTATCCAAATAATGTTTAGTCCTAGAAAACTATTATTATTAGAACACGTGAGCATAACATAGCGGTTAGCAGATCAATGAATGAGAGGGCAGCGTTACCAGAGTTGCCCATATACCACACCTTGTTACAGCACAGGGCTATTGCAAACAGAAACAATACTGTACTACATCGATGTTTCCTGTCAGCTCGATTTTTGAGTGGACTTTGCTGTTCCGATGAGCATGAACGGTAGGCTATATGAGTTGAGCGACTGAGCATAGAGCGGGATAATACGCAGAGCGTCACACAACGTGAAAGTGAAACCTGAGCGGTTAACTAATTTTCGGCAACCGGAATTTCAGTGCATCTCTAATTATTGGCGACATCAGAAATGGATATTATATAATAAATGCTTTTTTGAAAATTTTAGCAATTTAAAATATTTAAAAAAATGACTTTTTTTTTACACGGCACCCCGGTTGGGAAACACCCCAGCAAGCAATAGCCGTCATTTCAACGTGAACCTTAAGTGCAGCAGAAATTTTTTTGTAACCTTGGCCAGATCTGTGCCTTGCCACAATTCTGTCTCTGAGCTCTTCAGGCAGTTCCTTTGACCTCATGATTCTCATTTGCTCTGACATGCACTGTGAGCTGTAAGGTCTTATATAGACAGGTGTGTGGCTTTCCTAATCAAGTCCAATCAGTATAATCAAACACAGCTGGACTCAAATGAAGGTGTAGAACCATCTCAAGGATGATCAGAAGAAATGGACAGCACCTGAGTTAAACATATGAGTGTCACAGCAAAGGGTCTGAATACTTAGGACCATGTGATATTTCAGTTTTTCTTTTTTAATAAATCTGCAAAAATGTCAACAATTCTGTGTTTTTCTGTCAATATGGGGTGCTGTGTGTACATTAATGAGGAAAAAAAATTAACTTAAATGATTTTAGCAAATGGCTGCAATATAACAAAGAGTGAAAAATTGAAGGGGGTCTGAATACTTTCCGTACCCACTGTATGTAGTCGTTTATTAGCCGTCTAATTGATGACTAGTCTATAAATGGGCTATGATTAGACGTCTATTAGATTTTCACTGACAGCCCAAATTTAGACTTGTTTTAGCCTAGACGCATATTCACCGTCTATTAGGCGTATATATGTAGTCGTTTAATAGCCGTGTAATTGATGACTAGTCTATAAATGGGCTATAACTAGACATCTATTAGATTTTCACTGACAGCCCAAATTTAGCCTTGTTTTAGCCTAGACGTCTAGGCTATATTTAGACGTCTAATAGACGTCTTTTAAACGCAAAAATTGCTTGCTGGCCCTAAAGTAGGCTACTTGGAAATAAATTGCTTGAGTAATTTTGCTATGAAACATGTTAAAATGTATTTGGCGTCGAATAAGCGCTCGAATATTAAAACAATTAGGTAATTTCTCATGAGATTAGGTGTGTGACACAAGGTTTCGTGTCGGATTAGTCTTCTTGCCAAGAAATGCGTTTGGTTTTAATTAAGAACGTCCCACCTAATAGGGAAGTGGTTGCTTGGTTTAAGTTGTTGCAACATCCGAAAAGACTTGTCATCCGAAAAGATTATTGTCATTAGACATAGCAAATATATTAAGGTTTTGTTGATATATGTTCGTGTAGGGATGCAGCAATAGCCTATTGAAATTCTATCCAAAACAATTTGATGATGTTTACTGTATATGCTTTAAGTGAATTTTTGATTCAAAACATTATAATGTACAGTACAAAAGATGGATAAATATTGTTTTGAAATCTTTGCCATAATCTCTTTCTATAGGCTAGGTAGCATATTCCTGATTTAAAATGTATTATAATTTTTAAATAATTTTCCATTTACATTCCCTCAACCACGATGAATGTAGTCACGTTTTTAAATTATACATATATAGGCTATAGCCTCTCTCTCTCTCTCTCTCTCTCTCTATATATATAGGCCTATATATACTGGCTGAAAACATTGGTTTGTTATGCAAACAATGTGCATACAATGTGGCTCCATATAATAATCGAACAAATCAGATCATTAACTCTAAATGAACAGCTCAAAGAACTACAGTTTTTTTTATTTTTCTTTCTTCTTCATTTTTTTATATGACAGTGCTGTCAATCAATCCATAATTGGTGTAAAAGGGCTGAATTTGCCTCACCTTCAACAGTTAGTTTTGCTGAAGATGTGTAGTTTCCAACTTGGACACTGTAGGTGCCCTCATCTTCTAGCAACACCTGCTGAATCACAAGTTTTCGATAGCACCCTTCACTGCAGATCTCAAAGCGCTCTGAGGGCAGGATGACATTCGGTCCCTTATACCAGCGAATGCTGCAACGCGGATTGGTCACAGTACAGTCCAGTATGACGCGGGTTTTTTCCAGAGCAGTCTTGTCCTGAAGTGGTTTCACAATGTTTGCTGGTAGTGCTGTACAAATGAAAAGATGTAGTTTTAAGTCAGTTGTAAGTTCATTCTTGACAATGCAATAATTGAAAAAAAAAAATATGGTAACACTTTCTATGAAGCCCGTATTTATAATACATTATAAGGGTATTCTTAAGGCATTATAATGAATGCATAATGCATTATATAAAACCTTATATTATGTTGTATTATCTCATGAATATTCATAAGAACAGTTTTAATATATTATAATATTTACTTATTTGTGGTTATAGCTTTTAAGAGTATGATGATTTATAACACAATGAACACGTTGCATCCACTTTTACAATGGATTATATTTCTCATAGTTATAATGTATTATAAGTCTCATATCTTGCCATTTTTCTTATGCTACTTTACTTAAAGCGGTCAAAGACCACTTATAAGTAGTAGTAATAATAATAATAATAATAATAATAATAATAAAACATTTTCTCTCAAACAGCCATAAGATCTGATATCAGATCAGATGAATGTGTAATGGCACATTTGCTTTTTGAACTATTTTTAATGTAATATCAGTTTGATTATTTTGATGGTTCCCCAACAGACAAACTGACTATAAGTAACTTTGCAAGTACGTCAACATTCTACCAACCCTAACCTTATCCTAAGCCTACTAATACTCTAATGAGAGTTAGTTGGCATGTAGTTGCAAAGTTGCTTATAGTC